TTATTAGGTTAGGAGGTAAATTCCTCTGACCTACTTTCCCCCAGTCTTTAAAATAATAAAATCCCCAACTCAAAATATGATAATATAATCCCTAACTCAAAAGCGAATGTTTGCCAAACACATTGAAAGGAAAATGACAGTCACGGGCTAAGCATTGTTATTTTCGGAAATCTGACAGAAGTCAGATTTCTTTGATTGCTTCTTTGTGGAAGGAATGAAACTAATAGCATTCATGCCTGAACATTAAAATGCAAATAGCCTAGCAATTAGGATTCGCTCTCTTCGGCTTCCTTGTGTTGTTGCAATCACCTACCTTTGGAGCTGGGAACCATTTTGTGATATCTCTTATCTCCTCAAAAGCCCCCAGTATACAATGGGGTTCTCTCTCTCTCTCTCTCTCTGACTATTGGGTTACCAGCCTCCAGGTGGGACCTGGGGATCCCCTGGAATTAGAGCTCATCTTCAAACTACAGAAATCAGTTCCCCTGGAGAAAATGGATGCTTCAGAGGGTGGATTCTATGAAATTGTACCCCACTGAGGTCCCTGGCCTCCCCAGGCTCCACCCCCAAATTTCCAGGAGTTTCCCGGCCTGGATCTGGCAACCCTACACCCCCTATCCCCCGCCATTGGTGGGGTTGAGATTGACCTGACAACCTAGGACCAGGCAAGTTATGTGTTTTGTTTTCACAAGCTATTTGGGTTGGATATGTTGTCGGATATCTTGTCGAATATGTTGTCGAAGGCTGGATTTGTGGTGTGAGGGAACTTGGGACTGGGAGGGAATGTTTTCTGGAGACCACTGGGGACTCTTAGCAGCCCTGCTAGGTTATGCTTCTCTGGTTATGGAGCCGGCTTCCTACTAGAGCTTATGAGATTTGAGACCTTGCTGTATTCAAGAGGAGCGTCAAGACTCATTTGTTTGTCTAGGCCTGTCATATATGTTGATTGGTAGGGGATAAATCTGCCAGTGGTGATTTATGATTTGCCAGTTGTTTTATGTACCGTTTACAGTTTATTAAATGTGCGTATTGTTCTTGTATTCTTGTAACTAGTCTCTTATGAACTTTTCTGTGTTAAAAAGCAATTAATACATCTTCATATTTTAAAAAAATTAAAAATATTATTCAGCCTTAACTATGTTGTGTTTTGCATACCTTTACAAATATGTTAGGGGTTTCAAGGCATGAGAAGGCTTAGTCTCTTCCTTCCTGGGTTTTCAAAGGTTTGCAGGAATGTATAGGAGCTCCTGATTAGACTGGGTTTGTTGTGTAACTGGAGATGTTATACAAAAAACACTGGGGCAAAACATAAACTTGCGTCCCCCCCCCAAATGCTGTCAGATAACATATCATAGTGATATATTGACATAATATGTAACATAGTTTACTGTCTAGTATTTAATGTTGATCAGGGCTCTAGTCGGGGGGGAGCTCTCAGGTACGGAGCTCCGGAAGAGAACCTCTAGGGGGTGGGGCGGTCACGTGGTGAAGCCCCGCCCCCTTCTTTACCCCGCCCTCTGCTTCGATCCTCATTCCGTTTGGGAATGAGGATGAAGCAGGAGGGTAAGTAGCCGGGCCTTCTGACACACTTCCGGTGATGTCAGGGGGTGTGGCCTTCTGTCACTTCCGGTGATGTCAGGGGGCGTGGCATATGCAAATAAGTTATGCTAATGAGTTATGCTAATGAGCTCCGGCAGCTCTTTTTCTACAACAAGACCCCTGATGTTGATAATCAATTCACTAGATAGGCATATAGATTTGACTCTGTAAGCAACTGCCCTGAAGGTCAGAGGTGAGAGTTATGATGGAGACAAACTTGTTTATTCACTAATGTTAGGCAAAATGAGCCAATCCCTCAGAATGTGGAGTTCTGGGGCAATATGCCATCTTAGTTTGTCTTTCAGAACTTCCTTGGTTATTGCCTTCAGCTACAGACAAGTTTTCTCACTCAAAAACATCTGGTTTCATGTTTGAATGTTTTAAAGATGGAACAGTTCTATGTATCTCTAAAGATAGCATCATGAATATGGGTTGGTGATAACAAAGGTGGTATTTTGCTAACTCTGCGGATTTTGTTATAACAGATTCTCATGATTTCCTGTTTTTTCAGTTAAAAAAAAAGAAAACGGAATCATATGGCATTGTGTGTAGTATAGCCAGGAGATCCTAAGATTGTCTGGCAGCCAGAAGTTCTAGCTCTTTTAGCATTATGCACCACTAGGTGGCAAGCTAGACTTATTTGTTAGGCTGAGGGAGCTCTGAAAGAGCTGTGACCCAAGGTAACCCCACTGGCTTCATGTGGAGAAGTGCGGAATTGAACCTGGTTCTCCACATCAGAGTCCATCGCTCTTAACCACTACACCACACTGGTTACAACACTAAGCAGTGCTACAAAAATTGCAGGGGAAGGACTGTGGCTCAGTGGAAGAGCCTCTGCTTTGCATGCAGAAGGTCCATGTTCAATCCCCGGCAGCTCCAGTTAAAACAGGTGATAGGTGATGAGGACGACCTCTGCCTGAGACCCTGGAGAGCCGCTGCCAGTCTGAGTAGACAATACTGACCTTGAGGGACCAATGGCCTGATTCAGTGTAAGGCAGCTTCATACGTATTTATGTGTGTATTCAGATGAAGGGATGGCTCGTACTAGGTTTTCTTCTGGTGAAAGAGAGAAGAGGAACCTCTTTCGATTGCCTACAAAGTCAGGTTGGGAATTGTGGGACCATGAGGACAAAAGCCATGCGAGAAATGGGCTGTTGTGCGGAGGGAAAATGGCCAAGGTGAAGTGGAAAAGCTGGTAGGGGCCAACACAGTAGGTTTGTTTCAGAGGCTTAAGAAGCTCAGGGAGAAGAGCGTGCCAACAAGAATAAAGAAGAAAAGCCTCCCAGGAAAGTTTTACTTATGACACATATTTGGCTTGTATTCACTTCTCTTTTCAGTTGCTCATAGCTTAGGGTTTTGTTCTGAGGAAGAAGCCACACAAACACAGAGAGCATCACTCAACACCTTGTAAACGTGAGTCAAGGCAGAGCCGATTGGGGTTTTTTTCTCAGCACTTGAAGATGGGGCCTCACCTGATTAACAAAGGGCCAGGTAGCTGTGGAGTTCTTTGCTGGAGGGCTTTGATATTCAATACATTCGGTTGGAACGGTGGCAGCTTTGCATCTGCCTCCGAGGTAGATGCTCTTAGCCCTGTGAGAAATCTTGCCCAACCATTTAGCTCGGTAGAAGTGAGACTTGGCGGGGTTTTTTTGCGGTTTGTTATCTGAGGGGCTCTCTGCGGCTCCTTCAGGAAATACAGGTAGTTAGGCCTTGGTTCCTCCTGGCTGGCAAAAGGAACAGGCTGGTATCCTCCCAATGCATTGGGGCTTGCAGGAACGGGTAATGTGACTTTCCCTGAACAAGCCTCAGCCTGTTTGCTGAAGTAAAGCTGTTGGCAGGGTGGTTTCTTATTCTTGGGAGATAATTTTCTCTGTGTGTCGTACTAATACAACAAAACAGTAACTGCCATTTTTTTTTGTTTGAACGTATGAATGCTTTTTAACACCCCAAGTTGAAGATTAAAAGCATAGGGATTCCAGGCATACAACATAGATAAAAATATGAGGGTATTCTTTGAGTCAATATTCTTGAGAGCCAGTTTGGTGTAGTGGTTAAGTGCGCGGACTCTAATCTGGGAGAGCCGGGTTTGATTCCCCACTCCTCCACTTGCACCTGGCTGGATGACCTTGGGAAAGCCATAGTTCTGATAATGAGCTGTTCTTGAAAAAGAGCAGTTTCTGTCAGAGCTCTCTCAGCCCCACCTCTACCTCACAGGGTGTCTGTTGTGGGGAGGGGAAGGGAAAGGAGTTTGTAAGCCACTCTGAGACACCTTTGGGTAGTGAAGGGTGGCGTATAAATCCAATCTCTTCTTCTTCTTCTTCTTCTTCTTCTTGATATCCACCGTTTAGTTCAGGCTTGGAAATAGTATCTTGCTATTATTTTTTATTTTATTACTGCATTTATCCTGCTTGTTCTGGGGAGTAACGATCATCGTGGCCCAGTGGGGGTTTAAACCTGGGTCTCCCAAATTCTAGTCAAACACTACACACACTGATTTTGTTTTTGTTTTTTAGGAATACTCCAACCCTAAACTGAGTCTAGCAAACTGAGGAAGAGCAGTTGGTCGTTTAATGGCTTACTTTTACACAAGAAATCTGATCACCAGAAAAGTACAATAGCAGAAAGCATCTCTAAAGCTACACCAGGAGTAGGGTTCTTGCTCACCCACTGGTGGCAGGAGACCTCTCACTCCCTGCCACTGCTTCCTGCTGTCACTCAGCTGGGTCAAAGGAGGAAAATGGGCAGCAAACCGGAGGGGGGGCACTGCTGGCACACCCAACATGATGATGCTACTTCCAGGACAACCCGGGAATGATGTCATCACATCACACATGCCCTGGTGCGATGATATCACATCTGGTTCCTGCTGGGGGCACCAATTTCCTCTCCCCTCCATAAATCCCCGCCTTCCCCATCTCTTGCCGGTTGCCATGTTGTACTGTCCTTGCAACCCTGACCAGGAGGTAGGGTAGAACAATAGCCAAAAGTGTGAGTCAAATGGAGATTTTATTGCTTGTCTTGCAGTGTGTCTTCAGGTGGTAGTTTCCCAGGTAATAACGTCTTACCAAAATGTGTAAATGGGCCTTAATATACTGTAGCACGGAGAAAGGGGCCTAAGCCCAAGCACAGACCACCAGATCAACAGAAGGAGAAGAACTTTATTGGCGCCGGTTCAGTCAGCGAAGCACGCTTTAAACAGACTGAACCCAGAGCAATGCAGGCTCCAGGCTTTTATACTGCAACAAGGTTACACGTCATCATTTACATCACCAGAGTGGAATTTTCCATTGACTAGGCTTACTTTTCCCTCCCAAACTACACAAGCTCACTTCTGCCCCCTTATGACTGGAACATGAACAGCAACTATCCCCTTATATGGGCAAGGAATAATAAATGCCTACTTCATTCCCCCCTTTCGGTCCTTTCTCTGGGACAGAGAGAGAGACCGACCAATAACATGGCATAGCATTTATTCCTTGCCTGGAGAGTATACAGTAACTAACAGTACTTTTCTTCTTTAACCTGTGGAAGAATTTATGCATTAGTGTTCAACCTGTTCCTTTTAGCAGTAACCAAATATAAAAGTTTAACAGTATCATTGTGAGCTAACATTGCATTAACTGTTTTGGTAGCTACATTCTTAATCAAAGGTATCAAACAAGGGAGAAGTAACAAACCACCAAAGGCTAAAGCTATTAAGAACAATATACGTTTCCAATCTCCAAGTATGTTTCCGAACCAATCTTCAGTATCTATTCCTGTCCAGGTTTGGACTGGGACATGGGCTAAATTACGCATATGTTCTGTAATCTGTTCAATAGCTTTACCATTGTCATCAATCTGTAAACAACAATTTGAAAGGTTAAACTTTCCACAAACTCCTCCTTCAGTTGCTAATAAGAAATCTAAGGCAAGTCGGTTCTGGTAAACAGCAGTGCGAAGTTGTGTGTTGGTTTCGGCTAATACAGACAGAGCCAGGGAAGTTTCATTAGTTATGATTTCTAAAACCGCTTGTAGTCTAATTATTCGATTTAGCATATAAATGGGGGTTCTATAACCATATGTACCATCAGCTGCCCAGGTAGCTGGACCATATACTTGAATAATACGTTCTGGAGGCCATTCATCATCTTTCCAGTTACCTACAGCTAATCCCCGTATTTCTCGCTTTGAGCGTCCTAACTCATCATATACTGGGACTCCTAACCTTTCTCCGACAGTGAGGGGTAGGAGGAAAAAGCTAGGTTTTATAGTACCTAATATACAAGCACCATTCCATGTAAGGGGCAGGGTTGCATAGGCAGCTGAACCACATATCCAGTATAAGGAGTCTGGAGCTCTCCATTCTTTAGAAGTGCTACAGGGGTTGTCCCATAGGACTTGTAAACGACTCATATTAACATAAGGTGGGGCTTGGGTGACATTCGGATTAGCAAAATTAATATAGGCTTTAGGCTGGGTGCCATTACAGAACCATCCTTCTTCACAATCTAGGGCTCCCACTGAAATGTTAAAAGGAGCTCCCTGTCGTATAAAACAAGTATGACCAACTAAGGGATTTTTCAGGATCCATCTACTGGGGCGGTGGATATTATTCCAGGAAAGGTTGAAAGCATGGGAGATATTATTAAGTTCTACCTCTTTGGCCTCCCAGGGCCATTGTTCTCCCATATTGGTACCTCCACAGACATAACAATTCTTAACTGATAGTTCTCCTGCAATTCTTTCAGCAAGATCGATAAATAGATTCTTGGTCACTGGGGGGATTTCTATTACTTTCCCCATTTCTGACCAAAAGGTTGTGTGAATCTTCATTTCAGTGCTTTGGATTTTTGAACTAATAGTTTCTATGACAATGCGTCCGTATGGACTTTTTCGACCACCAATATCTATGCCAACCCCATACATCAGTTTCTTTCTTCCCTGGTTCTCGGATGCTCGGAAATGTAAGCACAAGGGAGTGCAGTGGTTATGGCTGCAAGGGGTTAGACTAGTTCCCTGGGATAACTTAAAGTACGGGTGGGCTTTCCCTCCTCCCACTATTCCACCTTGAGGTCCATCTGAGATATTACCATCATTAGAGACATACCAGACTTGTGCTTCAAGTTCATAAGTTGATGACAGAAACATTTTCCCTTCTTTGGCATAGCTCTGCTCTTTAGCTAGCCCTCCACACGTTTGTCTAATTTCCCCTGCACTATACTTTCGACTTCGAGAGATGGCATGACATATGTCAAAACAGACTTGCATACTTTGACTAGACTGGGAAGTGACATTGGACGCTAAAAGGGAAGAGGTGAAAGTATCAGGACTTGTGTACCATCCACTAATATAAGCATAAACATTAATACGGGCCCGAGTCACATTGGACTGGGGTCGAAAGCACATAAATTTCCCTTGATTTACACAAACACTGTAACTTATGCCCTCATGAGAACATTGGGTAACTACAGACGAAATACAATCAAAGTCAGAATGATAAATGAGGGTTTGTGAGACTTGACCTTCACGAAAAGTGGAAGTAATGCAAGAGGTACAAGCAGGAAACCCCATAACTGGGATGCAGATCATAGAAGGTACAAAAACACAATTTAACAGAAGCATCCACATCTTGGGCCTGTGCGTCGACTAGTCAGCTTCCGGTGTGACTAGAGCAGGGCCTGATGCTCCAACGAAGGTCTGATTTTTCACCCGTGCGCAGGGAGACCGTTTCCGGTAGGTCTCAGCAGGGGTTCTGGAGTCAATCTTCAGCTGTGTCCTCTTGGGGCGTGGGCCCAAGAGAAGCAGAGCTTGCTGGATTACTGGGCACGACACGTCTAAGCTTCACAGTAGTAGGATTAGATCCTGGCTCAGCAGTCCATCTAGTATGGGCAAGCTTCAAATTCGTCCAGTGGATCCAGGGTTTCCTCTCAACGACCTTCACAGCTGTAGGGGAACTGAGTAAAACAGTGAAAGGTCCCTCCCACCTTGGCCCTAAGGGCTCTGGTCTCCAATTTTTAACCCATACTGAATCTCCAGGACTGACATGACACACAGAATCAAACAAGGGAACTGGGAGACAGGCAGAGTAATGTCTTTGGAGTTTCTCAACTTGTCGTCCAAGGGCTTGTAATTCTGCTGAGGTGATTAACTGATGAAACCCATAAGCATCGGTATGAACTCCCATGGTCAGTGGGGGAGGACGGCCAAACATTGCCTCATAAGGAGAAACTGAAGTTCGTTTGGAAGGGAGGCAGTGCAGTCGGAATAACACTAGAGGTAGAATCTTAGGCCATGGCTGTTCAGTCTCTTGGGTGAACTTCCGCAAGGAGGCTTTAAGAGTTCTATTAGCTCGTTCTACTGCTCCTGAACTCTGGGGACGATAGGCACAGTGTAATTTCCAGATGATTCCTAAGGCTTTGGCAACTTGCTGAGTTAATTCAGAGATGAAGGCTGGTCCATTATCAGAGGAAACCCAGGTAGGTAATCCGAATCTTGGAATTAGATCCCTTAACATGGCTCGGGCAACTTCTGAGGCCTTTTCAGTGGCAGTTGGAAACGCTTCTATCCATCCAGTATGCGTACAGACAAACACCAACAGGTAGTGATGACGACCAACTTTTGGCATCTCGGTGAAATCAACAACAAGCGAAGTCATTGGGGCTGGTCCTGGGGTATTGATTCCTGGAGGTCGTCGGGGACCTTCTCTAGGATTGTTTCGGGCACAGGTAACACACTGACGGCACACGAGGTCTGCTAATGCTGTCTTCCGTTCCAGATGAGCCCAGCGGTCTAAGGCTTTAACAAGACTGGAAGATCCATAATGGGTATTAGCATGAAGGGCTTTCATTATTTCATAGCCTAAGGAGGCTGGAATCCAAATTTTTCCTGTTGGCAAGATCCACCAACCTTCCTCATTCTTTTTTGCTGATTGCTGGTCACAGAGGTAGTCTTCATGTTTGGTGTAACGAGGCGTCCAAGCTGAGACTGGAGTGGGGAAGACAGGACAGGCTAAGACTGACGGACTAGGAACTAGAGTGCGGAGACAAAGTTTTCCTTCTGCTGCTTCCTTAGCTGCTTTATCAGCACGACCATTTCCTTCTGCAATTGGGTCAGACTTCCGTTGATGTCCTCGACAGTGGATTATTGCAATCTTAGTTGGCAGATTGATGGCTTCTAGCAGAAGACGAAGATTTGGCCCATATTTGATATCCTTTCCAGCGGCTGTAATAAATCCTCGGTGTTGCCACAGCATTCCATGTGCATGGGCTGCCTTGAAAGCAAACATTGAATCGGTGAATATATTTGCAGCTGCATTCTTGCTTAGATGTAGGGCAACTGTCAGGGCTATTATTTCTGCTAGTTGAGCAGATGTTCCAACGGGTAGAGATTCTGCTTGTATCACCTGATGGTCATCTACAACAGCATAGCCTGCTTTGCGACGTCCTTGAGGGTTGATGAAACTGCTACCATCACAGTACAATATTAAGTCTGGCTGCTGAAGGGGTTGGTCACGAAGGTCAAGACGAGATGCAAACAGCTGGTCAGTGGTTACTAGGCAATCATGCTCAACATCTTCACATGGTACTGGCAACAAGGTGGCTGGATTTATGTTGATGACAGGAGCTAGAGATACACCTGGGTTCTCGAGGAGAACTGCTTGGTACCTGGCCATACGTGAAACTGTCAGATATTTGTGACCACGAGCTTCTAAAATGGTCTTAACTCCGTGTGATACAAACACTGTGAGTGGGGCTCCCCAGGTGAATTTGTTTGCTGCTTCAATAAGTCTACAGCAGGCAGCAACAGCACGTAAGCAAGGGGGCAGACCGGCTTCTACAGCATCCAGGTTTTGGCTAAGGTAGGCCACAGGCCGATTGTGAGTCCCAAGTTTCTGGAGAAGGACACCTAAAGCAACACTTTGCTTCTCATCTACGCAAAGGGAAAAAGGTTTTTCTGGATCTGGCAGTCCTAAGGCAGGAGCCTCAATGAGCCGTTGTTTCAGGGTCCTAAAGGCAACATCTTGATCTGGGCCCCAGACAAAAGGTTCCTGTGTCCCCCCTTTGGTAGCTTCATATAAGGGTTTGGCCAAAAGAGCAAAGGAGGGAATCCATAACCGACAGTAGCTAGCTGCACCTAAGAAGCCTCGTAGCTCTTTGCGACTCTGGGGTAGAGGTATCTGGCACACAGTTTCTTTCCTTGCATTACTGAGAGACCGTTGATTCTTAGAGATTTCAAATCCTAGGAACTGGACTCGAGTTAAGCAGATCTGGGCCTTCTTGAATGAGACTTTATAGCCACAGGCATCAAGGAGACGGAGAAGGTTAAGGGTGCCCTGGGAACATCGATGAGGGTCAGGGGCACAAAGTAACAAGTCATCCACATATTGGATTAAGGTAAGGACCCCTTCTTGGGTGTCAAAGTTCTCTAAGTCTTTACCGAGGGCCTGTCCAAACAATGAAGGAGAATTTTTGTAGCCTTGGGGCAAACGAGTCCAAGTGTACTGACATGGGCTGGAGGCTCCAGGGGCTCTCCATTCGAAGGCAAAGATGTCTCTGGACTGGTGGTGAAGTCCAATACTGAAGAACGCATCTTTCAAATCCAAGACAGTAAACCATGCAGCCGTGGATGGAATCAGAGTCAGGATTGTATAGGGATTTGGCACTACAGGGTGGATAGCTTCTACTTGAGTATTCACTGCCCTCAGGTCTTGGACTGGGCGGTAATCAGGATTCTTGGGGTCTGGAGAAGGCTTAGGTACTGGAAGGATCGGAGTATTCCAGGCAGATTCACAGGGGATCAGGATGCCATCTTTCAGGAGTCTCTGAAAGTGTTTGGTTAACACTCTTCGGGCATCTTCACGAATAGGGTATTGACGCTCTCTCACTGGATTGGCAGTAGGTTTAAGGACCACAACTACAGGAGGTTGGTGTTTAGCAAAGCCTGGGGGATTATCTTCTGCCCATACAGTTGGCACTTCATTTCGGTAGTACAATTTATCCTGCACCTTTTCCTTGTCATAAAAAGCATCTTTATCAGTCTGATACTGGACTTCTTCAGGGTCACCATCAGGGTGTCTTCTAAATCCACATCCCATTAGGACCTCAGGAAGTCGCCACTCTTCTGTAGCATCAACCTCTAAATTACAACACACTAGTGAAGTTTGAGTCTCTGGAGGTAAGGACAGAAGTGCTGAGCCATCCGGAGTATCAAAGGTTATGGAGGCACGCATTTTAGATAAAAGATCTCTCCCAAGCAAATTAATCGGACAGCTGGGATTTAAGAGAAAACGGTGGGTGACCCGGTGACCTCCTAGAGAACAGGTTCTTGATTGGAGGTATGGGAGAGCAAGTTTCTTCCCTGCCATGCCTACAACTGTTAGGCTATCTTTAGTGGGCGGAGCAATGGGTGTCGTTACAATGGATACTTCAGCCCCCGTGTCTAACATGAAATCAACAGGATTTCCTTCAATATTTAAGCGGACCAAGGGCTCCCGAGGGCCACAATTGACAGAGCCCGGTCGCCCCTAATCATCATAGTTCATTCCGGCCATACCAACAAAGCCATCTTCCGACTTCCCTGCAGGGTAGGTGCGGCTGTACCGGCTTTCATTAACTTGCCCTCTTGGAAGGTGGTTAAAGCTCTGTCCTCTTCCTTGGCCTCTAGATCCTCCCCTCCCCCGGAGTCTGGACTGGCGGTTCGGACATTCGTTTTTCCAGTGGCCATCCGCTCTACAGTATGCACATTGGTCCCGGCCTAGGGTTCTAGGACCACGGGGCTCAAGGTTGGATGTTGGGGACGGGCGGTCATACTCATGGCCTTGGATCACTGCTGCTAAAATTGCTGCCTTTCGTCTATGCTTAGCTTCTTCTTCTTTCTTCTCTTCTTTATCTCTATTCACAAAAACCTTCTGGGCCACCTCAATTAATTGGGACACGTTCATCCCTTGGAACCCTTCTAACTTCTGTAATTTGCGTCTAATGTCAGGTGC